TTCTCCTTCTCCTTCTCCTTCTCCTTCTTCTTCTTCTTCTTCTTCTTCTTCTTCTTCTTCTTCTTCTTCTTCTTCTTTTTTGAGAGTGGGTGGTTGACGGGTGCTCTGGTGTGGTTTGCTCCTTCTTTCCTATAAAAAATATATCGTCTCTATCCCCCCTCCTACTTTTTAATGTTTGTTACTCTCTTGTAACACCTCTTATCTTCGGCACATATATGACCTTATTGTGTTGCAAGTGCCGTAAAACTCTTACAAGAACTACAAGAAATCTTCTTTGAGCATTGAATTTAAAAGGTGAGCTGCATCGATCCTATCTATCAGGGCTAACCAGGATGGAACTTGGAAGAGGATCACAGCAGACTATCTGTCCCCGAGGTTTTAGGCACCCGCATAATTTAGCAAAATTTGATCATTTTTTTGGCATAATTTCTGATTATTTTCCTTTATCATTCTTTGTTAAAATTAACAGAATCGAAAAATTTCACATGCTTGGGCCCAGTTTGCATAATTTCAGAATTTTTACTTGCATAAAACGACGGGGACAGGACTATGGTAGGCCTACTGATAAAATAACTTCCCAAAATTAAATAAAGGGAATCAAACTCATGTTGTTGGAGGTTTTTTGTTTTGTTTTTGTTTTTTGTTGGGGGGGGTTTTACGAACAACGGCGAAGAGCCTAATTAATACACACCATGGTTGCCACATGCCACACCAGTTACAATCCCATCAATGCCAATCTCCAAATCTTCATTGCCACCAGCATTTACAGCAGCAACTCCACCAGACTTGGGATCAGCATTACATTTTTCAGGTCCAAACCAGCACAGAAGAAACAGTTTTACAGAACCCTGTTATCGAAACTGTAAGGTTTCGATATATATAGTAGACAAGGGAAAAAACCATACAAATTCATGGGATCAAGACCCTTTACAAAGTTGTCGTTATAATTATTTTAACAGCACAGTTGGTGTTTCCGCCTGATCTATCCCTGTCGATAAGCCTATATTATAATATTATTATGGGGGCTCTCAACGTCGTGGTCTAGAAATACGGTGTTCGCCTCTCATTCAATAAATCAATAGGTCCCGGGTTCGAAACCTAACAGCGACGGAATATTTTATCTTCTAAAATTGTCTTTTTTCACCTCCTTTCCTGCCATCTGTCGGCCCGTATAGCTTCTCTTGTAGCGTCAGTGGGGTTGGCCACGTTTCCTGTCTCAGGGCCCTGTGTGTCCTGCAGTGCTGAAGGATGTGTTCCACAGTTTGGTCCGCCTCTCCATACTGGCATTTTGGTGATTGTAGGCTACTAGCAGTGGCAGTGGGTGAACCTAGATTTGGGTGGGGCTTAGGTTTCTTCCACTTCTTTACCACCAAAAAGCAAGCAATAAGAACAACACAGTGATGATTTTTCTATACTCACGGCGAGCCACGGCATTTTGAGAACCATTCAAACGAGAAGAGTCACCTTTGTCTGCCATCTCTTTGTTCTACGTTAAATTCTTCTGCATGGTGGGGGCGAAGCCGTTTCACCTCCAAATTTCTCTAATTAGTTTTTATTTGATTATTGTTACATCTCAGCGGCACAAACACACAGCACTCCAATCACACACCGTGTATGAGGTGGATTGGGTCGTGTTGTTGCAGAAAATAGAACGCGCCTAACAAAGGCCCAATGGGCGCACAGGTAACTGTGTCACTGGGGGAAAGTGTGTCGTAAACTTTCACCACATTGTCAGGGCTGGGAGAGCGTGAGCCCTCTGTGCAGTGTTATTTTTTTCAAGTCTTCTACCTTTTTACAGGAGGGGTTTCATTAATGAGAGACCGTGGGAACGGGCTGGTTGATTGCTGAGCCCTAAAGACATTTGATTGGCTGTTAGGTTACTATAGATGTAAGCGGGGACAACAGTGATTGGATAAATGAGCAAGCCACCTAGTTGATCACTCTGTGTTCATTGCGGTCGATCAGAACAGTTTCAACTGCTTATTTCGTTATTTTCATTTGCCTTGGGATAGACTTGGGGGGTGGGGAGGGGGGCTCAAGCCCGTGAGCCCTTCACTACCCACCGCCACTGGCTACTAGTTTAAAACGTCTGTGCATGATATGTTGTCTCAGTCTTGTGTGTTATGTTCTTAGTCGGAAGATAATCACTTGTTCTTGGCGGGACAGCCTATGGTAGCCATCTGGCGTCTGTGGTGCCTTAAATAGTGTATTTATAATAGTTTTTATTTCTGTGTAGTTGACGCTGTTGTCTGATTGCTCTTTCTATGCTCCTAGTTTGGCCACCCTGTCAGCCAGTTCATTCCTAAGGTACCACAGTACGACGTAATCCACTGCAGCATGATCCTCAGGCGTGGGATGTCCTCAATTATCTCTCGCAGCCTTGGTAGATTGCCAGCAGTGATTACCTGCAGTACTGGAATGGCATCTGTTAAGAATACAAGTACAATTGTACTTGGCCTTTTGGGTCTACCACATCCCTGATGTTTGCTGCATGTGTTAGAGCCCCCATCTCTGCCCTGTAGTTTGTACAATGCCGCCCTGTTGGGACTGTCTCTGCTTGTCGTCGTCCATTTGGGAACTGTACGTACATTCCCGCTCCTCCTCTTTTCACAGCATCAGTGGCAGATCCGTCCGCATAGATCCTTATCTAGGCTTCTTCAGTCCCTGAGAAGGCCTAGACCCTTATCCATGCTTCTCGGGGGTATCTTTCTTCAAGCATGGACAGGGTGAGGGATTTCTTGCTCAGGTCACTGTGGTCATCTTTTGTGGTGAAAATTGGGATGGAAGTGTGTATAGGTATTTAATTATGTTTGTGTTTTTCATTTCCCATGATGGTGCCTCTGGGGTATGGTTCAGCTGGTAGATGGTCTTGTAAGCATTTTTCTGCTTTCTTTGATGAAGTTGGATCTTTTAAGTCTTATGTTGTTTGATCTGGCTGTTCTTGTGTGCCTTATATGATCCTCCATAGCTGTGGCCTTGGTGTACTGCATGGGGGCCTTGCACTCCCATCTTCGCAGAGCTACTATAGGTGTTGTTTGCTCCTTTTTTTCTATATAGGCGTTGACCTCATTGCTCCAGTGATTATTCGGAGAGCCTAGTTTTGCACTTTTTCCAGAGTGAATCTGTGAGTCTGTGCTGCAGTCATCCATGCACTGGATCTGTACTCGAGATGGGGCCTGATTGCGCCCAGATAGACCTGTCTGAGTGTTTTCCCATTTGCTCCCTACGGAGTCCCAACTAGTTTTCTCATGTCAATTAAAAACGTACGAGGAAGAAACTTAGGTAATTTCTTGAGTGTAATACATGTAATAGACACTGTGCCCCCAGGTATTTCTTCATGTACTACTACACAGCAGATATTCTGGCACTAAAATCGGTTCGTACTTCTGTGTAGCAAGACCACAGTGTGAATTTGTATAAGTTTTGGTCAAATAGGTGGAAATTCATGATTGTATTACTATTAGACACGTAAAAGTTGTATGAGAATAATTTACAATTGCAGAGTCTCAAAATAATTCTTACCGCTATGTGTACAAGGTGGATTAAGGATTAGAAATGCAGCTTCCTATCATCTCATCTATTCTGTCACATGTATGTCGTTCATACTGCAAAAACTTGACAGTTTTTGTTGAGTTGAGCCGTTTTTTGTTTTTTGGGTTATTTTTAATATTGACTTTTTTTTCATCCACACTTGTCCAAACAAATCACAATTCAGCAAAGGCGACTTCAGAACATGCAACTCCAACAAAATAACCAGACAAGTTACTATGTTCAAAATTCATTCTTTTTTTAAGACTCAACAATAGCAGAGATAATCACCACAAGTACATGTACAAGGATCATAGAGCAAGGATACACCTAAAACTAAGGTTGAAAAGCACCAAAAATTACACACACCGTGAGCAGACCCCCCGTGACCCCGATGTGATAAGGTGCTCAGCAGAGAACCCCCCCCCCCCCACACACAAAATGAAGCTAGAATTCCCATGCTGGTGTGCCATGTAATATGAATCTGACAAGCCAAACAGAAGGAGCACAGCTTTAGTATCGAGTGAATGTGGAGAGCAGCATAGTACATGTATAGTTAACAGCTAAAGGAACCAAGTCAATGTTGCTGACAAGTTTGGCTCTAAGGTTTAGTTTTAGAAAGGTTTAACTGAGCTCGCAACTGCATAAGGTCATACGAGCGTCTAAGGGTGGACGTCAACAGAGAAGTCCAATCAGGCTTACTCTTAGTTTTAATAAGAGTTTTTTACGGCACTTGCTAAAAATTCCTGTTATTACTGGATCCCTGTTATTACCCGGCTTGTTATATGGTTTCCACTGTATGTGTCAGGATGCGGTGGAATCAGGCACTCGTCAATTTTTGGGTATATGGGATTAATGGTATTATTTTAAAGGTTGTTCTCTTGGGGAAAAAAATCCATATACCTGGAATAGAAAGGCACCCCAAAATAGCAGGTCACAAGAGAGTGACAAACATACAAAAGAAGTAGAGGAAAATGACAATAGTAAGGATCAGGAAAGAAAAAGCAGCAGTTCCCTGTTGTAGATCAGGCACAGTTATGAGCGTGACATGAGTCAGCCCATTTGCAATTCTACTATGCTTGAACGAAAAATGTCCCCCCTTTGGGAATGGCCTAAAGACACTTCAGTCAGTGGCACCGCCTCGGGCGGTGAACTATCTTGTTATGAACGATCTTTGACAATAGAAAGCTATCGATGTAACCCAATGTTCATGGGATTCCAGGCTGCCGCAGCACTGCAAAAGGGAACTGGGGAAAGGAGCCCTGGAAGCCATTGAGGTAAAAGGTTTCTCTACTTTAACTTCCAGGTTGTCGGGTACAATAGCGGTGGGTTTGTAGTGCGCACTGAAACCACCAGAAAACGACCCGACCCGACGACCCGACCCGTTTGCGCTAGCAGGCACCCTCTTTAAGAAAGAAGGAAGGAGAGAAGACAAGAACAATAAACCAAGGTAAGAATGCAAGCAACACAAATTTACATTAGAACATATAAGTTTAATGTAACATTCTACCGCTAATTTTATTATCAGGGATAACAATAATAACATTTGGAAAGCAAAGAGACTATATTTTATAGTTTTTATACCCTCCTCCCTTATGTGTACACACACACACACATACACACACACACAACCACACTGTGGGGCATGTAAAAATACATTAGAAAAGACAACTGATGCTTATTGACAGTAAATGAAATCTTTATTTAAGTCTTTTTAATTTTTAATTCCATCATCCCATGTTTCTCCCAACCTCATCAAATTTTTCCCGCTCATGGCAGAGCCCGGAGGAGTAGTTTTGTAGAAAGGCGTTCCGCTGATTCTCTTTCCCCTGAAATGGCTGAACTGAGGCAGAAGTGAGGGTTGCCTTAGGTGCAAACCTTTGGCGCCAGGAGTGTAAGCTCTCAGTGTCACCTCGATGTCTGGTTTTGCAGCCACGGACACCCAACCTGTTTGGCAGAAGAAACCATAGAATACAAGTCACTGAATATATTTCATTGGGAACATGAGCAAAATTGTTTAAGTTTAACTAGCAACACGGCAAGGTTTTTTCAGAGGCGAGCCCTCCAAATTTAGCATTCATCTTTGACAGGTCCAAACCAAATGGGAAAATTCTTGTAAAATCCCTTTAGCAAAGGCACAATGTCGGACAAAGTTGAGCCTGCTATCCCTAACCCACAATCTTAAGAAAAATTAGATTAGAGGTCCAGTGGCCTAAACACTTTCATTGCTCAAAGGATACAAAACAAAACCAGGATGGAGCACCGAAGGAATTCTTTGTTCAGTAACAGACTTAAAGTTGATGGAAACAATAGAAAACAAGTTCTTGGAAATGATTTTTTTAAAGTGAGTTTTTTTCCTATAGAACGTGTTCACAAGGCAAAATAAGTTGTTTTTTGCACTTGGCTGTTTCATGATATAGGGAAAAAACAGATTTTTTTTCTGAAACTATGAGCTTCTAAATTCCCAAGTGTTAAGAGACCATAACTTTGGAAACACAGCAGCTAGGTTGGTACTGTTTTCACCCTCGTGTAGGGGCTTGTGAACATCTTTAATTCGATCCCATCGTGTTATATTACCAAAAATGCCAATGTGATTCATCAAGGCGAATAGGTACTCATTTATTTATTTCAAAGTATCAGCTGAACAAGGTGCTGTCAGGAGATAACACATTATGACATAAATGGAATAAAAATCAAATAGTGTAAAACAAATGCTCTGCACTTGTGTGTTTCACTCGGTGTATTCTTATATTACAAAACATTGCCATGCCAAACAATATCTTACAAAAGACTCTAGCACATTTTCAATCATATTAAGTTCCCTCTGTCACTCAAAATGCATTTTCGGTCATCAGAAACAATGAAGATGACAGCTCAATAAAGCCTGCCATGTGAAGGTCCACCTACAGTTCCACTTTTTGTTTTAGATGGTCAAGAAAAGAAAGGTTGTCTTCAGTATCAAACTCAATAATTCCCAAAAGAGTTTAGAAACTGAAGTCTCAAAAGACCTGGAGTAAAATGACACTTATTACAAATTAATCTCTGAAATGGGAGCAATATTTAGTATGTAGTATAGTATAAGGTTTTACGGCGCTCGCAACTGCTAAGGTCATAGGAGCAATATTTAGTATGTAGTATAGTATAAGGTTTTACGGCGCTCGCAACTGCTAAGGTCATAGGAGCAATCTTTAATATGTAAAAAAAAGTATTGAAGCATATCGGTCAAGAGGTCACATACCGACTGAGGACAACTGAACGTCAGCAGCAGCTTCCAGTGTTCCCCTTCCTTTCACGACAAAATCCCGCGCTGCAAGAGACGGTAACTTTGACAGCTTTTGTTTGTCCGCCATAGGAAGCTGAAAACACAAAAATGGACTGATCATCTATAGCAAGACTGTTTTTGTATTTTTACCTACTTAAAACGAGTTGAAGGTCAAACAAGACTATTTGCAGTCTCTTTCTTTCTAAGCACTTCTGTGAAGGAACTCAAATTACAATTTACGGATACAGTCGAACCAGGGTAAGACGAAATCACAAGGGAGCCAGAAAAAAAATTCCGTCTTAGACAGGGGAATTTATGGGGAGATGGAAATGGAGGGTCAAAGGACCAGCCACTGGGATCAATGATCGCTTTCCGATCGGCAAGCAGTGGTCAAAACTTCACACCTCTCAAATGCTAGTGCTATCCTGTCTGATAATGACATGCGCCAGTCTTACTTATCCAAATTACAACCAGTGCTTGCCTTTCATAGGACCACTGTTTCACCTATTAAAAACAGAAACGTTTTCCGCCCTTAGCCCCATCCACCAGTGTAGCAAGCAGTCAACCAGTGACACCCCTCACTGCCATCATGTAACAATGATTCAAGGAACTCTTTTCTCGGCTGGCCGTACGATCAGGGAAGCAAGCATCGGTCAATCTAATTTCACACCTCTGGCTTCTGGCTACCCAGGAAAGCTTCCGGCTCTCTACTCGAGCACTCTCACGGGCAGTCTTGAGATTTCACACCCACACTACCCTGACCATCTGCATCGCTCAGGGCTCACATGATGGGGTAACATCTTACCGTACAAGAAAACATGCAGTGTACCCGCTCACGGCGTGGCCAAACTGGAGGGCTGACTGGCAGCCTCAGTGTGCATGCGGCTACGCACGCAACAAAAGGCAAACTGTAGAGAAACTCTCTCTCTCTCTCTCTCTCTCTCTCTCTCTCTCTCTCTCCCTCTCTCTCTCTCTCTCTCTCTCTCTCACACACACACACACACACACACACACACACACACACACACACACAAACGTTATAGGTTAGCACTAATTAATGAAGAACATCCGATACATTGCCTCAAATTACATATGTACTTAGGGTGAACTCTATCATCGTCAAACGTTGATCATTTAATACCCCACCCCTTCCTTATTCAGGATGTCGCAGAACATGAATGAGCTTTAAATGTATCCGCACTTGTACAAGTGTTAGTGAGAAACGTGAAACAAAAGAAAAATACTGATCCTTGATCTAGATCTAGATCTATGAGTATTTAAACAAACCGAAAAAAAAATGTTTTCATCAATAGGCCTATCTATGTGTACTATGTTTGCTGGTAAAACATAAATAGAGGGAATACTTCAAGATAAAAGTTAGAGATTTTGTAGTACTGCTTGGCGTTAACCGGAAAGAAAACATAGATCTAGCCAAAGGAAAAACAAAGTGAATAGATCTATGTCACAAATGACAAAATTGTATGATTTTACATAGATCGAGTGTCTGTAGAGCAGGAAGTGACCAATAATAATAATAATAATAATAATTGCATTTATATAGCGCATATCCATGCTCAAGAGCATGCTCTATGCGCTTTACAACTATTATTACCCCGGCAGACCCTCTGAGAACACTCAGAAACATTCTCGGCTTTCGCGGAAGCATACAGTGCAAGCTGCGGATTTCACGCGCTCAAACACTATCAAACTGACAAGATCGTTCACTGTCTATAGCCGGGTACCCATTTCCACCTGGGTGAAGAGAGGAAAATTTGTGCAAAGTGCCTTTCCCAAGGACACAACGTCGGGCCCCTGACGGGATTCGAACCCACGACCTTACGGTTGCGAGTCCGAGAGCCTAACCACTAGGCCACCGACGCCACAAGGTACTTACTGGTGTTACAGTCTATAGAATTCTAAGTGAGCTGGGCTTCAGTTTCACTTTGGTGTGATAAACCATAAACATGTTTTAGTTTGCAGAAAACATGTAAGATCAGAGAATACAGAATAATTGGCTAGCAGCGCAGTTAGATATCAAAGAAGCTGGGGGGGGGTTTTATAGTAGAGGGTTTTACGGTGCTCGCAACTGAAGGTCATATGAGCGCCAAGGTGTGGGTGTCAACAGAGAAGTCTTTTCAGGGAATCAGACTTAGACTGCTCACCTCTCTAGCTTCAACAGCACAAGGTCTGCTTCGACTATCAAGGCACCCCTAAATAGCAGGTCACAAGGGAGTGACAAACGTATAAAAGAAGTAGAGGAAAATGACAATAGTAAGGATCAGGAAAGAAAAAGCAGCAGTTCCCTGTTGTAGATCAGGCACAGTTATGAGCGTGACATGAGTCAGCCCATTTGCAATTCTACTATGCTTGAACGAGATATGTCCCCCCTCTGGGAATGGCCTAAAGACACTTCAGTCAGTGGCACTGCCCCGGGGGGACCTGTTGTGGCAATATACACTGGAGAAGGTAATAATATGTAATCTGTGAAAGGGAATCATGCCAGTTTGTCACAGACCCATTTTGTCACATGCCCACGACCCTGCCTCGACTGTGCCCTGCATGATGGAAATTATCACTGACACTCCCAAAAAGAGTCAGTGAATGATTGATTAACAGAATGAATTGAATTTTATTATTCTACTGTTTTTAACGAAAGACCATTCCTTGAAATTTTACAGAGCAATTTGCTTTCATTTGCATACAAAAAGGAAGAAATATGAACAACACAAGCTGAATTGATATATATATAAAAAAGGGACTATCTTTACAACACCAATTTGAACGTGGAGAATAAAAAAAAAACTAAAGTTACGACTACAGTGTTAAAGTGCTGTAATTATGACTGTCATCAATACTCAACTACTTAAATGAAATTGTGACAAACTGGTCAGCCCCCTGTGAAAGGTACCGTATCGAGTACTTGTCTGTTGAATAGGCCTACTTTTTCATCAAAATATAGTAAACTTGAGCAAGAAAGACATTTAAACGAGAAAAATAACAAAATAGATAAATAAATAATAGAATTAATTAATTAAAAAATCAGCAACTCACATCCACTGGAAAATGCATATATATTTTATATATTTGGTCTCCTTTATTGGTCCCACAATCCACTCTAATGTTGTGCCTGCCTTCGTTGATTTGGACGAGAGCTTCGTTACCTTCCTACTCGATCCAGTCTTGAGTGACTGTTGCTGCTGTTCTGAACAGCAAATCTTTTCAGGAAGATGTTGGCAATGAATGTGAAGGTTTTCTTAGACACAGCAAGATTTAAGTTAAAAGAGTCCAAAAATGATTGTAGCCAACTGAGCTCGACAGAAACTTGAAACTGAATTTGTAAAGAAGTGAAGAGCTTCAATTGTCCATCCTCACTTGCAAACAGGTGCACATAGAACAGTAACCATGTATGTATGTCCTTTTCGCTGAGAGCAGAGGATTGTAAGCTTTATTTTATCCTCATCCGTTGCAACTACACCATCATGTGTTGTTGAAGTTTTTAACAATGACAAAGTTTTTCTCGATAATTACTGATGTTTGCATTGCAGAGCAAGTCAGCGGCTTCAATGTCCATTCTCCGAAGTCACTGGTGGAGTTTTGAGTTGTTCTTGAATGAGCAACATTACGCAGTGTAGATGGGGTACACTAGGAAAATACTGGGAGGAACAGCAGGAGATGGATACCTAGATTTTCTGATCATAGGAGCACCGGGTGGTCAGTGTATAGATCTACTGCAAACACCCAAATGCCAAATCACTTCCATTGTGTTTCCAGTTGAGCCTTGGTATGCTGTCGACCCACTTCTTACATTGCTTGGGGTCAGTAGGAAAGGAATACACACTGACGTCCTTTTCCGATCCTCTTTTACTGTCATACTTTGGGACCATCCATATATGATGGCACACTTTTTTGTCATGATGGCTCTTGCACACACAATAAAACACACTTTTTATCCGTCAGAAATTCACCTTGTAGGCCTACACATTCAAAACAAACCTCTATCTTAGTCTTAGTATAAATACCAGTACAAGACAAGTACCGGTAACAAGTGCGTTGCATTAAATGCATGTACACGCACACTAATAGGCCTACACACAAGGTAAGACAATAGGCTTTGTGCCTAATTGAGCAATTAAGTTTCGCGCGAACAATGTGGTGAGCGAATGTAACGCAAGAACCCAGCCTCACAGATTCCTGCCTGAGAGGCCTGTCGGGACGCATGGTTTCTTGTACGCTAAGGGTAACATCTACCCCCAAATTGCACCCCTACTCCCCTTCCTCGCCCAGCGGCATGGTCTCAAATCAAGGCTGAGCAGGCAAAGCATTTTCTGTCTTAAACAGGTGAAACCCTCGGAAGGGAGCAAATTTTTCTTTCGGTTTCCGCGTTGGACAGGTTTCCGCTTTATACAGGTAATTAAAGAGGAATATATCAAGGGGGGATCGGGGAGATTCCGTTAAGACAGATTTCCGTTTTACATAGGTTTCCGTTAAGGCAGGTTCAACTTTTTGTATTTTAAAATTTTAATAAAAGTGTAGCAACTGTGACTCCAAAATACAATCTCTTATGATTCTAGGTTTGCCAACTTTTTCAAAATCAACCATATAACATCAGATTACATATAAACAACAACTAAAAAAATTATATCAAGTGGGACTGGATTTAGTGTAGGGTTGAAGTGGTGGAGGCTAAAATGTCCCCTAAAATTTCTGATTGCCAAATTCAGGACAATCTGCAAAAATTCGGGATTATGCCTGTGATTATGCTACATTGGATTAGGGCTCACAATTTACAACGAGACTCAAACAATCATACCAGTAGTGTCTCAGATCCAACATACTGCTCGTAGTACCCATCAGCCTCCACAGTAGGACCAATGCGAATAGGGAGAGCAGATGAGGAGTGTACAGTGAGAAACAACGGGACATCAGCCTGAAATTGGTATAACAATTTAAGTTATGTTAACTCCTCACTTATGTAATACTAAGCATCATCTGCATATGAATGGACAGCAGGAAGCCTTCCATCACCATATATAAAGAATGAGGAAGAAGAAGAAAAACAAGTGTGACTTAGTACATCCAAAAATATTAGATCTAGTTGCTAAAATTTCTAAAATATCAACTGATGATTCTACATCAAGGGTGACAATAAAATTTGATGTTAAAGACATTCTGGACAATTATTTGTCACAAAGAACTACAACTGAAGATTTTGTCAAATCCCCCTATTATTATGATATCATTGTATTTCAATGGTACATACTATTTTCTTGGACGAAATGGAACAAAAGCATCTTGACAAAAAATAATAAGTAAAACTATGGACAAAAATAACAAAGGGACTTGACTCATCAAATACAATCAATTATAGTTACAGGTTACAGTTATTTGGATACAAATCACAGCCCTGAAAACGAAAGAAAATCAAAACTTGAAACGAGCAATTGAAGAAACATTAAGTCTGTCAATTTCTTTGATAAGTTATCACTTCCTTTAGGTTTTCCATGATTTTGTACTCATCTCTCACAGCTTTAGATGCATTGACTTTAATTCCTCAGCGCCTTATCAGTAATGGATACCTTCAGATAGTCTATTCTGGCCAGTCCTGAGATAAAAATAGTTTGTTGAGGTTGCAGAACAACAGCTCGAGGGATTATCATTGAACTTGGGGTTAGCTGAGTGCATTCATCTGGGCTTAATAGATTCATGATCTGCAGAAAAAAAACAAAAAGCATTTACACATGAAACTTTGATCAGATATTACCATTTTTTTCACATGATGGACACTTTACACATTGGGTTAAACTGCTCCCTCATCTCCATTAAATGTGTGCTTCTTTCTTCCAAACCTACTGATAGGTAAGAATGGCAATGTGTAAACCTTGCAAAGATTTAAACCTGCTTGTACAATACTGAAAGGGAAAGCCTACACAGCCAAATAGTAGATGCCACATGCCAATCATTCTACAGATTCACAACAATGGTATAAAATTTGTGTTGATGGTTTTCTTGCACCTACCAGACAATCCATATCCAGTGTGTTTATTTATTGTCTCTCCCCTAAAGGCATGAAGAAAAATTAATATGACTAATGTTTTCCCATCATTGTTGCCCACTGATCTAACCTGACGTGACCCCCTGTTCATGATCAGATATTACTCAAATGTCAGGAATGCATGAGTTGGTATCCGTTGAAGAACACATCTGTCTGGACACGCAATATGACTTGACATCGCTGCTAGGTTATTGCAAAGCTTGATAAGCAATGTAATGATCCACATACTAGCTGATTATATGTGGCTCAGATAACAGTTATTCAATGAAGCATTGACAAAAATCGTAAAATGTTGTTACATAAAACATACGATACGGCATGACTTTGAAACAGGACCCACTGTGTTCAAAGTGTGAGTAAAAACATTTAACCACAATAACTAATTAATTTTCTTGATTATGAACAGAATCCAGAAAAGTCATGATTACTGATTTGCCCACTTGCAAGTGCTGCATCAGGCAGAAAACTACATATAAAATGTAAGATAGAATACATAGTCTAGCACGTACATAGTGGTGGGTGGTTGGTGGGTGCTCTGATGCGGTTTGCTCCTTTTTTCTTATCAAACAAATATCATCCATATCTCTCCTTCTTTTCTTTGAATGCCACTTTCAAGTTACATCACTGACCTTTGGCACTTATAAGAACACTGTGTTTCAATTGCCATAAAACTCTTACTAAAACTAAATTTAAACACCTAGTGGACACTGGCACTGCCAAAAATGTACATAGCAAAGATTCTCAGGTCCTGAATTTCCATGAATATATTCTTTATATTCAACTTATGCACATAACTTCAAAAAAACATGCATGCCAAACAAATTGGTGTTAGCTAGGGTAGATCTTATTAAACATGAGCACACATTTCGTTTATTGAAGTTGCCGGGGGGGGGGGGGGAAGGTGAGAGTGTGAGAGTGAGAGAGAGAGAGAGAGAGAGAGAGAGAGAGAGAGAGAGAGAGAGAGAGAGAGAGAGAGAGAGAGAGAGAGAGAGAGGGAGAGAGAATGTGTAAAGTGTCGGCCAAAGACCTGTCTCTGATAGAGACAGTGAAAGCCAAGGACGACTTTATAGTATACATCACAAGAGTGCTCAGTGGTAGATCTAGCCAGCACGCAAGTTCAGTCGCACATTGGGGAGTCTGCAGTTGAGCGAAGGCATGTACATGCATCTGGCATTTCACCATGTTTGTCCGCCAGCTCCTTCTTTAACAGAAAATATCCACTGCACAACTGTGACAACAGCTTGCTTGCATTCTAACAGTGCTGAAGCTGAAAAGTAATGAAAAATCTGCCGGGGGTCTGGGGGCCGTAGAGGCCCCCTCAGGGTCCCGGGACAGCGTCCCAGTGGGGGTTCAGGGGGCGACGCCCCCAAAGAAATTAAAATTTAGTGCTTTTAGAGGGTTACAAATGGCATTTAGGAGTCTGTTTGAAGAGATTGCCTACAACCCATAATGTTTATTTATTCGCCAACATTTTGTCTAGTTTGATTTCCTCACCAACACATCTTTCCATTGCTGGCAATGTTTAAAAGCAGGTTCCCCTTCCGTTGCTACTATAATTCAATTAATTTGTAATCGCACCATAGATAGAAGGCAAACCTGGAAATAATGAATAGATATGTACCTTCACAATACAGTTACCCAGCGTATACCCTAATTTTCCTCAATTTTCACGTCTAAATGTCGCATGTCACAACCTCGGAACACCACTTCGAATTATTCTTGATTTTAATAGTTTTAGCACAAATTTCTTTCATCACGGCCCTTATCGCGTTCTCGTGCCGTAGAATCTTCACGCTGATAATTTCTCAAGATTTAGACAATAAATTTGCAAGCAAGTTTCTTTCTGACAGTAATTTTCCGTCTAAGATCACAAGTCAATTTACTTGATCGACGCGCATATTTTCCAGCCGTGGCAACAGTCCAATGATAGACAGACGGAATGCGTGAATGATAGAAAGGAGGAAACTGGCACAAAAAGTTTGCCAGATTTTGATCAATCTGCAGGTAAAAATGTACTGCCGACCAACCCGCAATGAACGCAAGGGGCATAGCGGAACAATGGCCGATTGCAGGTAATGAGCAATCTGGCAGGTCTCTATAACATAAACTTATTGCCGAGAGAATTACCGTAAACATCCATAACTTATACTTGACGGCACAAAGTCAAGTACGGATCTTTTGCTACCGAATTTCGGTAGTCCTACGCTGTCGCAGTTTTTTACGGAGGGAGTTGATAATGATGGAGGAACAAGTACGGAACAGGCAGAAAGTACTGATTTCCGTAAAAATACGGAAGAGAGGAAGCACTGAATTCTAAAAGCTACGTCTTTCTGAAGTTGTAGTAGACAGTGGACCATGGTGGAACAGAAAAAAAAAGAAAGCTTCTTGGTTGAGTAAAAGGGGCTGACCCTAGCACAGACGGATAAAATAATTAAGGTCAAACACCTAAATCTGTTAAACATGCCACTATAATCCCAACAAGCATATCAAAGTGGTATAGGGAGCATAAATCTTGTAGAGTTTTGACCCAATTGTCTAACTTGGTTTATATTTCTTGATAGTTAGAAATTTGTACACAGCAACATTCGTACATTTCGAAAGGATTTCCTTGCCACCAATTTCACAATGTGCATGCTAGATCGAGTATTAAAATTTAAACACTTATGTATACCTCCTTTATACATAGGTATATATATATGTATATCCATGTATACCCTGAATTGTTATAGATAAGCCATTACAGAATTTCTTTTCGAATTTTCCATGGTACCTGATCAGGATTTATAATGCCTGGAGTGTCATAGACCCAGTAGCTTTCATCAAACTCTTCTGACTTGAACTCAGATTGTTCTTCGCTCTTGTCAGCTATGTTGAAGCTTCCATCATTTCTGCCCTGAAAGCTGACCACATTTTGTCCCCAAGCAACGCCCTCCTCATCTCCTTCAATCTGGGCTGCTGTGCGGACATCTGTCGTGTTCACATCATCTGGCATTGATGAAAAATAAACAGTAGAAAATTGGGATACTACGTCAAGCACCTACATATTGATGCTAGGGCCTACTACGCTCCAACCATGTAATTGGAAAAAAATCTTTATTTGGTACTAAAACAATTTCCAAGGTTGACTTGTAGGTCCTCAACAAAAACCAGGATTCAGCGTTTATTAAAATAAAAAGCTAAAAAGCACAAGAGTACTAGTACTGTGGGGTAATATTTTCTGTCTTCCATTGCCATTAAAATCAAAAGATTTTATAAACTCCTGTTGAAAAATTATTTAAAAACCAGTTACCTGGTTTGAGCACAAAACCATCAATATATCATCTCATACATGTAGACTTACAGATCAACAGGAACAATACAAACAAGAGATCTGTGTTAATCAAGAAGATACTTTAAGGTATATTATATCTTGACAAAGTAAGAAAAAAGACATCTATATCAAGACAAACCATCCAAATACCTGTCAGCTCCCAGCGTCTGTTATGCCTATTATGCTTTCTCTGTTCTCTTGCTATCTTTTCAGATTCTAAACGCAATGCCTTTTCCTGCTTAAGACGTTTGAATCGAAGAGCTGCAGTTTTGGACGAATGGCGCATGATTGGGAACTTCAAGAGATTCAACGTGGTGCCTGAAACAGGGATAAGCAAAATGTCTCTAAAAAAGACACTAGATTCTAGAAGTACAATATATTAGCATTCATTCTATTTCATTTAATAACAGGTACACTGTCTTAGGATAGTATGGACTATTTCTCAACAACAATTTTATTTTCCCATCGTTTTCAAACCACAAGTAGAAGAATATGAGTTCTCTCAACGTATATTTGGTTTATTTTTCTTAGTAGTGAGAGCTCTGATAATTTTTTCATTTTGCAACAGAGACACCTTATTAATGCAGTGTAGACACCATTCTAAATGTCACTGCCCAAAATTAATAAAAAATTATGGATAAGAAGGGGAAATGTATAATGTATGGGCTAAACAGCACTTCCAACACTGTAAGATCAATAAAGAGGCAGGCCCCTGATGTTAAGTCCATCTCTGACAGACTAGGCCAAGTGGGATGTGAGAGCAATGAAAACTGCCCAAATAACCAGAGCACCAAAGTTCAAGAAAGACCAGTTTAAATAAGACTTTTAAGCTATTTTCAAGTTTGTAAAACTGGACTTCAGTGTAAGCTAAACCAGTGGTCACGGACAACAAATTTGATTTACCTGGCCATTCAGATACAGTAGCTCTCTGAATGAGATCTCTCGCTGTGTGTTTACAGTAGTCTGAACTCAGCAAAATGTTGAAAAGAGAAGATTTCCCTGAGTTGGCAGTGCCAACAATGTACACATCAACTGACAAAGAAACAAAATTACATATTTTTTATTTACACATGTCATAACATCTAAATAATGTGTATACAAAACTTTCAGTAATCTAACATATTCTTTCCTATATATTCAAGGTCACAAAAATATTTGTATAAATGTGAGCACAGAAAAGGCCAAAATATCAACTAAACAAAAAAAAATTATTACAATAAATGAAATCTGAGTCAATGCTAAATACAAGTATCTTCATCTCATTTTAACTGAAGATCAAAGCAGTATACATTTTCACTTCACACAAAAGTGAGTTCTACCATTAAAGAATGGCATCCGGCATCTGAAAGATTGCAACAGTGAACTTATAGTTGTATACAAAGATCCTGATTCTCTAGTCTGTGCCACTCTCATTTAACCTCTTCGTTGCTGCGCCCGTAGAATTTACGGGCCTGTACTGTGTAGCGCTGTGCCTATGGCCCGTAGAATTTACGGGACCGTGACACCAATTGACTCCCCAAATTGTTTTGATACCAATTATAAGTGAATTTACTGCTTAAAGTTTTTAAATTATTATTGGGGTACCTTCCCTTTATGTTTACCATCATTTCCCCCCCCATTTGAAAGCATCAGATTCAGATTTTAGCTGAAAGAGAAGATTGATCTAGATCTAACACATCTACAGCACAAATGATTTAATGGCCATAAACACAGATGGACTTACATGTATATAGATCTATATATATGTATTGTACAAGTGTTGTATAAGGTAGGAAACGTTTCTTGTCACTATCTCTTTACCTGCAGACACTCACACAACACATATTCCCCTTCTTTTTGGTTTCAGTTTATCGAATGTGTGTTGTTTTATGTTGTTGTGTGGTGTTTTTATTGGCATCATGTTACTAACTTCAACCTTTCTCCATCTGTCTCTCAATGAAATCCCCCTACAACTATATCAATAGAAACATAGTTCAAGGTAGAAGGAAGAATCAGAAATCTATGAGAAAATATTCATAAATAAAAGAGTTTTGGGAGGTAGAGTGGGGTCACCTCTGAGCCCCCTTGGTTCATGGGATTCCCCTGGCACAGAGGCCTATTTACCTGCCGCATTGAAGGGGTTAAGCTGTGGCCTTATAGATCAAAAACACTCCTGACTCCAAATACACCATCCATACAATATTGATAATGATATCAAAAGCATACATAATTATTGTTTGGAGGAACTTAAAAATCAATCAGTCCAGACATAATCTTTCATTCAATATTTTTGACAATTTAGTGTATTATGTGGGTATATATTTATTATCATCTCCCAAATCACACCATCATCAACACCAAAAGGGAAGTGTGTCATAGAAAAATTGGTAAAAATTGTCCAAACGATGGGAAAATGTCTTCTTCAATTTCATTATTTTGACAAGTGCCCGATTTCACCACGAGGCCTCACAAATATGATAAAAAGCCTCTGTGAAATTAAAAAAACAACAGTACCACCATCTCCACCCCTCCCCCACCCAAGACCTAAAGTACCTTGATTTGCTCTTCCTAAAATATCCGTTAAGTATCACTAAAATTTCGATTCAATATACCCTTTCGTCTGTAGAAGGAAAACAGGGTGGATATCAGCTTCTCCATCCCAAAACCTGTCTTTGCACTGATCAAGTTGAAGGCTTTCACATTTTTCAGACCAGAATGCCTGCAAGCCTCTTTTAGCCGTTCCTGCGCATTTCTCAAATATTCTGGGCAATCAGGGGCCAGCAGATCAGCCTGTGGGTAGAGAAAGTTGTAACTCAGGGGGCTGCCCAGAGAAGAACATAAGTTGTAAGTTAAACAGTGAAACTCAGGATTCTCTGTTTTGTTTAATCCATTAAAATCAGCAAAATAACTCTGATTCAACTAACACACATAAAAGAGCAAACTCAGATTCAGCGAAGCTGCTTGCCTAACAAATAGCCCCTGCTGATGGGATTTCATGCATTTTTCTCCCCAATGAAGTTTATCTACTCTATTCCAAAGGACCACTGATTGCAACAGCATCATGGATCATTACATGCTTAGCCAATTGCATACATCTTATGCGTCCAATTAGAAGCCTTCTGTCTCACCAACATGCGTGTTGTTAACTTTGCACGTGAGACATGCCATGTTTTAGTGTTTATCTGTGTTGGGAGATGTCGGGTGTACGGCCAGCACACAAGTGGCTATTACTGCATGTGTCTAGGGGGAGGGTGGGGGAAGGGGTGCACAAACATTTGGGGTGTAGAACATCCGCACACTTGCAATCACAGCAGAACCAGACCCCCATCACCTCCCTCCCCTCATTCCAGCTACTGAACAATGACATGCTGTTCTGTGGAAACAAACGTTGCAGTATGCACATAGGTTCTACACTACATTACAATGCAACCTGTTGCTCACATTGTTATAACCAATACTCAGATTCAATTAAATTGAAGGCCGGGCCAGAGTCTGCTTCAACCCAACATAGTTCTGCTTAAGATTTTTTTCTTCTATGTCTTTGTAAGAGAACTATTGGTTATGTGAAAACTAATTTCTAAACCAAAAAGAATTTTGAGGATTATGACATCAAAACAATATCTTCACTCGCAACCCTTAAGTAACATAAAAACAGCAAAACAGAAGAAAGAGACATGACAACATATGTGTTTCACTTGTGGGACAAAGAGTCACTGCCGGTGTACTGTTGTCTACGTTTATCACACATCAATAGACCAACACACTGTATACAGCCTTGTGACACAAGAATAGCAAATGTACGTTTGCCTCACAACTTTTGGTTGGTCATGGCGCATTCTTTTTGCAAAGCTAGTTCACATAGGACCTAAGCATGAGCTTGTGATAGTATGTGGTGTGTTTCTTGATGTCAGGAGCATTGGGCTTTCTCACTTCTCTTGGCAAGCGCAGAGCACAGTACAGTGTGCAGTGCAGTCAGCTGATCTTCTCTTTCGTCTGTTTGGCAGATTAAGCAAGCTAACAAATGTTGAAGAGAAAGCACAATCTGTACAAACTGCAGCTCAAATTGTAGTCACTGAAACTGAAACTGGTAGAGGAGAAAAAAAAATTCAAAAGCATGGCATTCCAAATTATGTGCTGCTGACAATCATCATTATTTCAGCAGTCTCTCTAAACTGAAAACCCGGCTTTACCAAAGAAAATCCTGATGTCCCAAAGACACTCTAACACTCTCTATTCCACTCTACTCTAACACTCTTGACAACTGACAATCAAGGATTTTTTATTATGGAAAAGTAAGAAAAAGAAACAAACCAAAGCAACATTAAGCAAAAGGGAAATGAGTCTTGTCCATTTTTGTTCAGCTGGATGTATACAAGAGTGAATAAGGATTGACCATCACCCATGTCATGCTGAAAACACTATACCACTAACAGTACAATACCTTGACTACATCCTCTACAACTAAAGTGAGGGACAAATTCACAAACATCTTGTTTTGAAATTCATAAATAGAAAAGTCTTCATCTTCACATTTGACAAAATTTTGAGAAAACTGGAATGATATGGGAAAACTTTTACCTTGTTTCCAACAACAAGAAGAGGGTGCTTGTGTCCAATATAGTCTGTCAGGTTAGGCACAATGCTCCCTTGCATGTCCATCAGGTCAACAACTATCACCACCAGGGAGCGAGTTGGTCGAATCTTGGAAATCATCTCTGTATACTCCTCGGGTTCTGTTTTAACCTCAACAAAAGCATTACAATGCTGCATGTAGTAGCACCTCTGACAAATGGACCGCTTCAGCTCACGTTCAGTTAATAACTTGAACTGTTCACTCACCATGAAACCAGGCAAAGTTCTGTTGTGGCATTGTAAATGAGCTCCACAGCCAGTACAAGGAACCCTACTCGGCTCTACTGATGCATCCTCAGTCCCATGTAGGGGTGAGAATTTTTTAGGCGTCTGAAAGTCTTGTTGAAAAGCAATGAGCTCAATAGCATTTTCAAGATCTGACGCAGAATCTACATCAGTCTCCTCTTGAACCAGATCCCCCATTGAGGAAACAGTGCTTTCAGCATCATCTGTCATAGTTTGAAGTCGTGTTTTGAAAGAATTTGTTGTCACATCATTTGCTGTAGTCCCTCTCAACAGTGCCGACCTTTCAGATGGACTCCTCACATCATGAGGCTGAGATTGAAGCTGAAGCAGCTTTCGAGTCACCAAAGAAATCTGAGGGGCCCAGGCCTTTTCTTTCTTGTCCTTCTGTCTCACATCATCATTTGGTTTATTTTCAACTTGAAAAGCATTGAATCTTTGAGAGGATGGAAACATCTTCACTGAGGCAAAATATCTCCACCGTGAAAATGACGTGCATGATGTAGAAAGCCAGTGTCTTCTTGATGTCATGGCTCGAAGCATTATGCACTCACCTGCCATCTTGACTTCTTGTGGTAATAAAACTGTGAAGAAAAAAAAATTGAAATGAAGAATACACATTGCATTTCATGAAATTCAACATTGTACATGAATCAAAAAGAACTTTTGCATCCTACAGAATGAGCACTACATCAGGTCTTGCAGAAAATATGGTGTTCAAAAGAGATTTTTCTTTACCGTTTATTAAAAGAAAAACAGAAAATAATAAACAGCAAAATTCATTGCCTCTCACTGTGGGTGAAAAATATCTCTACATCTAACAGAGAATACAGAATTAGAACCATTACAAGCATGGTAGGCATTCTTAAATTTTATTTTTAAAAGTTTGTTGAACGTCTCAACTCCTGTAAAATTTACAAACAATGTCCATGATACATTGTTATCCCTCCTTTTTGTGGTGCTTCAGACATATATGTGATGTATCATGGTGAAATCAGGGGCTCGTCAAAATGGTGAAATCGAAGAAAAAGGCATTTTCCACAAGTTTGACAATTTATGTCAAAATTTTGTTTTTTGGATTAAATATCTTTTATGTTCAAATGAAAATTCATTTCCCTGTGAATTTTACTGAAAAACCTTGTTTAAAGTAAAGGCACAAAATATGTAGTTTTCAGTTTTCAAGGATTGATCTTAAGCTATTGAAGTTATCAAACTTTGGCGGACATTTTCTAATTAATTTAACCACTGAAACCAGGCTACCTTACCTTCTTCAATAGCAAATAAATATCTCGACTTATGATTCAGCTAGATGGATATTTTTTCACTGAAAGCAAGGCAAAAGAATATAAGCTTTCAGATGGTATCAATAGCTCCCCATGCCCAAAAATTGACGAGTACCCGATTCCTCCACGTCTTGACACATAAATACATATTTATA